TCAGTTGTAGATTGGATTACGTCTGGTTGAGTTTGATTTTCTCCCCCCCCCCTTCAGTCTCATTTTTATTTATTTTTTTTTGCCTTCTTTATCTCTTCATTTCATCATTCATGTTTTTTTTTTCAAGTATAAATCTTTCTTTATTTATTTCTCCATCTCTCCTTTTTATTTTTATTTTTCTTATACATATTTTTGGCTTATGTTTCTTCTCTTTTCTTCACACTTCTTTTTCTTTTCTTTTATAATTGTTTTCTTAATCTTCTCTTCTCTTTCTCCATCTCCCTCCTTTGAAACACAAATGCCCACACACATTGTTTTTCTGTCCTTCATTTTCTTCTACTTAAATCTTTTCCTTTCCAGCCTTCTCATATCCTTTTCGCATTATCCGTTTTTTTATTCCTTTCTTCTTACTCTTTTTACACCTGAATCCTTTCCTCTTCTTCGTCTTTATTGGCTTCCTCTTCCCCTTTCTTCATTATCTCCTTCTCATTGTTCTTCTCTGTTTTCGACTCGTCTTTCTTCACGTCTCTCTCCACCTCCTTCGTTCTCTGTCGCCTTTATTCTATTTTCGTCTCCATCTCCTCCTCCTTCCTTCCTTCTTTATTTCCTTCCCTTCTTCTGTTTTCACCTCCCTCTTTTCTTTCCTCGCCTCCCTCTCCATCTTCTGCTTTATATCCCTCCTTTTTTGTTTTCTCCCTTCTTTCTCTTCCTCTTTCCTCGCCACCTTCTCCACCTCCTTCTCTACCTCTATTTTCACCTCCTTCTATTCCTCTTCCTCGCACCTTCCCACCTCCATCTTTTATCCATTTTCACCTCTTCCTCCTCTCTCCTCGCCACCTTCTCCACCTCCTTCTTTATCTCTATCTTCACCTCCTCCTCCTACTCCTCTTTTCTCGCCACCTTCTCCACCTCCTTCTTTTCTCCATTTTCACCTCCTATTCCTCTTTCATTGCCACCTCCTCCACCTCCTTCTATATCTCTATTTTAACCTCCTCCTCTTCCTCCTCTCTCCTCACCACCTTCTCCACCTCCTTCCTTATCTCCATTTTCACCTTCTTCTATTCCTCTCTCCTCGCCACCTTCTGCACCTCCTTCTTTATCTCTATCTTCACCTCCTCCTCCTACTCCTCTTTCTAGCCACACTTCTCCATTTCCTCTCTATCCCTATTTTCCTCTCCTTCCTCCTCCTTTTCCCTCGCACCCTTCTCCACCTCCTTCTCTTCCTCCTCTCTCCTCGCCTCCTTCCCCTCTCCCACCCCCACCTCGCACCCCTCCCCTCCTTCCTCTCCCTCCTCAAGACGCAGCATCCTCGCCGCCCCCAGAACCCCCCCCCCCTCAAGACGCCTTCAAAAGATCCCTAAGAACTACACAAATCACAGGCCAGCACCCTCGCGCCACAAGACTTCCATAAGCAACAACAGGACGTCTTGTAACCTCGAAGGACAAATGACGTGCCCTTGTTTATGTACTCCTCTTGTACTATTTTTTGTGCTCCTTTTGTACTCTTTCTTGTGCTCCTTTTGTACTCTTTCTTGTGTTCTTTTTGTACTCTTTCTTGAACTATTTTTTGTGTTCCTTTTGTACTCTTTTTTGTGCTCCTTTTGTACTCTTTTTTTGTGCTCCTTTTGTACTTTTTTGTGCTCCCTTTGTACTATTTTTGTGCTCATTTTGTACTCTTTCTTGTGCTCCTTTTGCACTATTTTTTGTGTTCCTTTTGTACTCGTTTTTTGTCTGTTCCTTTTGTACTCTTTTTGTGTTCCTTTTGTACTCTTTATTGTGTTCCTTTTTTTTTTGTCCTTTTGTACTCTTTTTTGTGCTCCTTTTTTACTCTTTTGTGCTCCTTTTGTACTCTTTATTGTGTTTTTTGTACTTTTTTTGTGCTCCTTTTTACTCTTTTTTTCTCATTTTGTACTCTTTTTGTGCTCATTTTGTACTCTCTTTTTTGTGCTCCTTTTGTACTCTTTTTTGTGCTCCTTTTGTACTTTTTTGTGCTCATTTTGTACTCTTTTTTGTGCTCATTTTGTACTCTTTATTGTGCTCTTTTTTGCTCTTTTTTGTGCTTTTTGTACTATTTTTGTGCTCATTTTGTACTCTTTTTTTACTCTTTTTTGTGCTCCTTTTGTACTTTTTTGTGCTCATTTTGTACTCTTTTTGTGCTCATTTTGTACTCTCTTTTTGTGCTCCTTTTGTGCTCTTTTTGTGCTCCTTTTGTACTCTTGTGCTCCTTTTGTGCTCTTTTGTGCTCCTTTTGTACTCTTTTTGTGCTCCTTTTGTGTTCTTTTGTGCTCTTTTGTGCTCCTTTTGTACTCTTTTTGTGCTCCTTTTGTACTCTCTTTTTGTGCTCCTTTTGTGCTCTTTTTGTGCTCCTTTTGTGCTCTTTTTGTGCTCCTTTTGTACTCTTTTCGTGCTCATTTTGTACTCTCTTTTTGTGCTCCTTTTGTACTCCCCAAGAAGCAGGCGAGGTTGTAGTACATTCGTCAAGGAGGATGACCTTGTCCATCACCGCTGAAATCGAGAAGCGTAACTCCAGCTGTCACTCGCGTCTCTCGCCTTCATCTTCTCTTATTTATGAAGTTATTTGAAGAAAAAATAGTGATAAAATAAAGTGGAAGACCGAGAAAATAGAAAAAGAAGATAGAAGTGGTTTAAATGCAAAGCAGAACATCTCCAGCTCTGAATTATTTTCAATGTTGTTTATACACAATCAGAAAGAAGTTTGTGATAGAATAATGTACACGTTTGTATTCTATCAGCTGATGATATCGGCGTCTATGCATCTGTCAATGTTTTGATTTGGCGAGGCCACCCCGACTGTTTGTTTATGCATCACACCATCTTACTATCGCTCAGTGGTCTATTTGTCTGTCTGTCTACGTATCTCCGATCTCATCTCGAGGTGTGTTGTTATATGTGTGCATGTGTAAATGGGGGGGTACTTCTCACTCGGTCTGTCCGCCCTTCTTTCTCACTATTGCTCTCTCATTCTCTTCTCGCTCTTCCTTTATCTATCTCTCGGTTTCTCTGTCTCTCTCCCTCTATATATATTTGTTTCTCTCTCTCTCTGTATCTGAATGTCTGTCTCTGTCTCTGCTTCGCTCCCTGTCTGTCTGTTCGTTTTTCCGTACGTCCGGCTTTCTGTCTGTCTCTCACTCTCTCTCTCCTGTTCTCATTCACCTTCTCCCCTCTCCCCTCATACCCTCTTCATCTCACTCTCTCTTCCTCTTAACCCACAACCCTACCTCCCTCTACATCATTGCCTCTCTCACTGCATATACATGAAGAGCAAATCAACTTGCATCTTGATCACGAAATGGACCCAATCGTTCGAAATCTTGCAATCTCTCCTCAAGCCTTCGGTTCCATCTTGCATCGGTGGTGATCCCCTTATATCAAGAGCAAGCCACGAGTCATGAATACGGCGATCGTAAACAAGCCGAATGCGTTTGTGTTGGTCTTTATTGACATCATAACAAGTGTTTGGGGAGGGATTGCTTCGTCTGAGGGGGGGAGAGGGAGAGAGGGAGGGAGGGAGAAGGACAGAGGGTGGGGGGGAGGGGGAGAAGGACAGAGGGTGGGAAGGAGGGAGAGGAATGGATATAGATGGATAACAGACAAATGAAAGCAAAAGAAAAGAGGTAGATGGATAGATGAAGAGAGAGAGAGAGAGAGACAGAGAGAGAGAGAGAGTTTAGAGAACTCCAGGACTGAAAGACTTACACACACTCACCTTACGGAACTCCAGACTAGTTTAAGATGTTCCTAAATCACGTCTAAAACATGTTCAACCGCAAAAAAGCGACCTGGACACCGCACTATCAAAAACGTTTTCAATTTCGGATTCCATATGTTCAGCGGCAGGGTGTCCCGTCTCGGTCGTGGTTCGAATACCTCTCTGACTTCACATTTCCCCTCTTAATAAAGAAAAAAAAGAAAAGAAAAAAAAAAACGATAAAGAATGATAGTTTATGCGCTATCTTTTTCTCGATTTCTTATCTCCTGAAGATATGTAAGTGTTTGTCTGTCGGTCTCTCTCTCTCTCTAGTTTTTTCTGGTTCTATATCTATTTTTATGGAGCGTTTCCCTTTCGATTTTCATTTACTTTCTATGCATTTTGTGTCTGTATGTCTTTCTCTCTCCATATCTGTCTATTCATATATCTGTCTGTCTGTCTATCTATCTACCTGTATATACATGTCTATCTGTTTGTCTGTTTATGTGTCTTTCTATCTGTTTGTCTGTTTGTGTGTCGTTCAATCTATCTACTTGTCAGTCTCTTTCTCTCTCTCTCTCTCTCTCTCTCTCTCTCTCTCTCTCTCTCTCTCTCTCTCTCTCTCTCTCTCTCTCTCTCTCTCTCTCTCTCCATATCCATCTATCCACCTATCTATTTCTCTCTCCCTCTGTTTGCCTCCCCCAGTTCATCAAGCAAACATTTCTCTTCGATTAATTTCCTCAGATGACGCACTTTGTTCTCTGAAGGCGTTGTGTACATGTTTAGACAGCAGGCGCGAGGGTGGGAGAATACACAGGTACACTCTCTCTCACGTACAAATACAAATACACTGCAAATACACACACATATACAAGCACGCACATAGAGGCACACACACACACGACACACATATACAGACACACATACACACACTCTATCTCTTTCACACACGCACAAACACACATACACACGCTCCCTCACATACACAAACGCACACTCAATACACAACGCATACACTCACACACCCATACCCTCTAATACACACATAACCCCCTCCTCACACATAATACCCCCTCCCCCTTTACTCCCCCCACATCCACACACTCAATCACGCGCAACTCCACTTAAAAAAAAGATGAAAAAATACCCCCACAAGAGGTTCCTTATTCGGACATCTTCACAACGCATACAACCACATACCCATACCCTATAATACACACATAACCCCCTCCCCACACACAATACCCCCCTTTACTCCCCCCACATCCACACACTCAATCACGCGCAACTC